CTAGCCCAGGAGGCCAGAAGCCAACTTTCATTAATGGGAAAAGTGCTGATCTTTTTTCTGCCTGACGGAAGGTGTCCTTTTGCCTTCCTCTTATGCGCCCCCCCCGCAAGTTCATTGTCTTTGCCACCCTGACAGGACAGCCCTTGCAGTCTAGTCTCCAGTGTCTTCCCAGCCTCCTGTATATGTCGTAGACAGATTTGGCTTAATTTACATGATACAGAGACATATCTTCTCTCCTGTCTGGCTGAAACCTGTGGGTCAGCTCTGCCTGGTTACAGACTTTAAGACACAGTGACAGGATGTACACATCACTTTTAATTTATATGCTCAGTACGTACATTTCACAATGGTATTAGTGACCAGCGTGATGCCAGCTTTCATTTGATACCTAGGCTTACACTATGCTATTTCTGGATAAATACCATGACAGCGGGGTGCTAGGCATAGTGAGTTTGTCAGGCCTGTTAGACAATGCTGTTACAGGATAGGGAACCCTTTGCCAGTTGGCACTGAGGGGTTCAGAGGGTCACATACTAACAGTGTCACCCAGAGAGTTACCAGGTGATAGCCCAATAGGGGATTTTGCTTTCCCTCCTCTCCCTCAAGGCTCCTTTTTCAGCTTCTCTTCCCCCCTCCCTCAGCCCTTCTGCTCCGGCTCCTCAGCAGAGAACTCCCTGCACCTGTTGGTGGAGCTCCCCAAGCCTGGCTATCCACCCCATCTCCTCTGGGGCAGTTTTACCCAGTGCAGGCTGGGGATTAGCAAGAGGCTCTGTCTCTACAGAGAGGATGATCTGGCCCCAGACTGGAGTCTGCAGATAGTCCAGGAACTTACCGGAGAGGGTCGGGCCCAGCACAACTAGAGGCTCAGATGGCAGGAGCACATGTGCATCCCCCCCCACCCATAAAGAAGTGGCACATGCTGAGCATCTTCTTGCTGTACTCTGCCCGAGGAGCTGTCCTTACGAACTCTAGAAGCCCCAGAGAAGGCCCCTCCAAGCTACTTAATAATAATCATAGAATATCAGGGTTGGAAGAGACCTCAGGAGGTCATCTAGTCCAACCCCCTGCTCAAAGCAGGACCAATCCCCAACTAAATCATCTAGCCAGGGCTTTGTCAAGCCTGACCTTAAAAACCTCTAAAGGATGGAGATTCCACCACCTCCCTAGGTAACCCATTCCAGTGCTTCACCACCCTCCTAGTGAAAAAGTTTTTTACTAATATACAACCTAAACCTCCCCAACTGCAGCTTGAGACCATTATTCCTTGTTCTGTCATCTGGTACCACTGAGAACAATCTAGATCCATCCTCTTTGGAACCCCCTTCATGGCACCTGGCCTTCCTGCTGCTGCCTGGGTATCTCAGGGGCTTGTACCCACCTCTGAGTTCCAAGGGTCAGCACAGGAATAAGATGTGTTGGTACTTTTCCAGGCTCTGCCCACAATCCAAGCTCCACCCCTTCACTCATGACACAAGCAGGAGGCGCTACCCGCACTAGGTTATGAAATTCCCCATCATTATTATTTGTATTATTGTAGTGCCTAGGAATCCCAGTAGGTGCTGTACAACCCAAACAAAAAGACCTGCCCCAAAGAGCTGGCAATCATCTGATCCTCCCTCCTCTTTCTCATTTGTTTTGATCAACAGTGAAAGAATTGACAGTGTTAACAGCCACCGCATTGTTAGGCTTCCGGGTTAACAGGTGCAGACGAATGGGGATAGTGCCCCTTCTCAGAGCCATCATTCCAGGCAGGCTGCAGGCTGAGGCCCTTAGAGGGGCTGCATCACAAAGGTTTTGTACAAAATCAGGGGTTGAGACTTCTTCCCTGTTCAGCGATAGGGCAGATCCCAGGGGAGAGCCCTGGGCCGGTTTGGGCCCTGCCATGCCACTGAACCCAACCCAGCTCCAGCACATGTGGCTGAGCCAGAAGCTCCTGCTCTTCCACCATCAGCCAAGTACAATGGCCATAAACAGGGACACTGGCTGGCCCAACAGAGGGAATTCAGGGTCTTTCACCTCCCCTGGCTCCCATCTGACCCCAGGCTGCATGTAGGCAGACCTTGGTAGACAGCTGTTCAGATCCTTGAGGGAGGAGGTTTTGAGGGGGAGGGGGCTTTGGGGGTCTCAGTGAGCAGTATAAACCCATCATGGCTACTGCCACTGGCTGCCCCTCCTGTTGGCACGCTCAGCAGAGAGACCATGGAGCCAGCAGTCCCCCCTCAGCGCTGAGGGTCAATACAGCAGGGGCAGGGCTGAGCCACACTTATTTGGGCTGGGGAGGGTGCTGGGGATAGAGGGACCACACGGGCAGCTTCCCCCGCTCACTCTGCCGCCTCCCAGCTCTGCCCACCCCACACCCTTCTCCCACTCCCCCCTTACCTGCCCCAGGCAAGGCTCTGGCAAGGTCCTGGCAGGCGCTGGGCAGGGTTAGGAGCTCGCTGGAGGAATGTGCAGGCCTGCCCAGTCACAGCCAGTATCCTAGCAACCGGTGCATAGCAACCAGCTGGAGAAACAGGACAGCTTCCAGCAGGAGGGAGCGGAGGCCCAGGCTGCAGGGGGATCTCAAAGCACTTTACAAGCACTCACAATGCAGGCCAACATCCCAGATGAGGGCTGCAGGTATTTCCAGCCCTGCTGCCTGATCGCAGCACAGGCCGATAGGTGCATCTGGCCTGGATGGGCCCTGAGCCTCACAGAGGGCACTACACAGGCGCAGGTGCCCAGAGTACCCAAGCGCCCGCTGCACCCACGTCCCAGCATTACTGTGAGGCAACAGAGGCAGGGAGAGCAGCCAGTGGGGCTGTGGCCGAAGCAAGAGGCGATTGCATTAGACAGAAAGCAAGGGGCGAAGAGATGCAGCCACAGGGTGCTTGGCTGAGAGCAAGCGGTGGAGGGATTGGCCAGGCCATCGGGTAGCAAACCCAGGGGAGCCTTCACCTTGCTTAGCTCCCAGCCCTTCAGCATTGAAGAGGCAGCAACACCCCATGGCCATTCCTTGGTACTGCAGCTGAGGCTAATCTCCCTTGATCCTGGGACAGCTCCTGCTGAGTCTCAAAGACACTGAGCTGGGAATCTTTCCCAAGAGCTTCAAGGGAACAGATCAGTTGCTGTGTGTGTCCCTGCTCCCCCCTTTCCACCAGCCAGAGGTCCTGTCTTCTGCCCACTTCTCTGCCCTGCAATGAAATGACAGGTCCCACCCCCTCCCTGTAGCAATGAGATACCTAAAAACCTACTGTCCCCAGCTATCCAGAGCCAGCCCCCACCTCTTCCCTTCACAACCCCAGGACTCTGAAAGCCAACCATTGGCCAGCACTGTAGGCCTCCTCATTGCAGAGGCTGCTTGCAGGAAAGGAGGATGAGAGAAGAGAAAAAGAAAGGAGGAATGAAGGCCTGGCCACTGTAACTAAGGCCCTGCATAAATTGCAGGGTGTTTGTCACAGCTCAATGTTTGAATTTCACAGGACAGGCACAACCGCCAAGTCTCCCCTTTCCCTGCCCCAAACTGCTGCAATTTCCCCCATGGGGCGATGGAAGCAGGCATCCTGGCTTCCACCTCCCACCTGAAGCCACAGCTACTCATGGGGGTAGGCGACAGGTCAGTCCTACGCTGAGGAGCAAGGTAGGATGGTGGGCCGGTGCAGCTGTCTCACTACATGGCACCAGCTGTCCAAGCCCATCTCGGTCCAGGCTGCAGCTGCTGCTCCCTGCCTGGCTGGTGGGGAGAAGGGGACGGCACCGATAACACATGGTGATTAGGAGCCCTGGGCTGTCTCAACCTACAGCAGCCCCTGGCAGGCCCAGGGGAAACACTGTAGGAACTGAGACTAGGATCTGCACTTGGCACACAACCAGGTGAGTGAGGGGGCCCTGCCCTGGCAAAGAGTGGAGGTGAGTCTGGAATCCATCTTTCCACCCCACTCCCCAGCACTGGGGCAGGGCCCCCTAACACACCATCTCATGCACCCAGTGGCAGATCCTGGGCTCAGCCCTTGCCGTGTCTCCCCTGGGCCTGCTGCAGGGCCAGGGCTCCTAACCGCAGCATTGTCAGCACTGCTCCCCTCTCCCTGCTGGCCAGGCAGGCAGCTCTAACAACAGCCTGAGCTGGATAGACAGTGTCATTTGATGAAACCAGCCCAGCCTGCACCCCATTACTGTGAGTTGTTCCATCCCCACTTCAGTCTCCCCCCTTTACTGGAAAAATCACAATATTGGGCTAATTTCACAATTTCCATGCAGTCCCTGAAACCGTGATTTAACAGGGCCTTACCGATAACACGAGAGAGAGATGGCAGCCAGGCCAGGTGCATCCTGGGACTGCGGTCCAAGGAGTAGCTGAGAACAGGCTGGTCACATCGCATTGGCTCCTCCTCCTCCTTTCCAGCTGATACATTGCAATAAATGAAGCTAAACTCATCAAACCCACTCCTAGCATCTTTCCCATGGCAGCAATTGCTGCAGGGACACAATCTGAACACCAGCGGGAGGGGAGCGGCCAAGAGACACACACTCTAGGATGGCAGCTCTTTGGGGCAGGAACTGCCCACTTGGTCTGTGTTTGCACAACCCCGGGCCTAGCACAATGAGGGCCTGGCGCATGACTGCAACTCATGGGTGCTTCTGCAACAAAAAATAATTGCACAGGATTCACTCTTGGAAAAGGTTGGAGAATGCTCAGTTTAAGCAAACTGTTTTCAGCCTGCAGGGTTGGTTGGGCACATAATCAGTCATTAACCTCACAAGGGAGTGAGCATTGCTGTTCCCTTCCTGGCGCAAGTGTATTTCAACAGGAGGCTGGAAAAGAGCGAGTGGTGGATACTCTTCCTGCTGGGCGGGTCTATCTTCTCCCCCCCCGCCCCTCCCTTTACACTGAATTTACCCATTGGTGGGCCCTGGCCACAAGGATTTACAAGGAATGGTTAATGGAGAGGCTGTAGCCATCAGAGAGGCCCCCACGGTCAAACAACAAGAGGAATTTCACAATGAATCAAAGCACACTGTCATAATGCTATCACCTTCTATTTCTCTCGCACCAAGATGCTCTACAAGCTATATACATATAGTGCCACTGAAATGCAGCCACTTCTGAGGTGGACTGCTGCACCCGTACAACAGTGGGACAAATCCACGTAGAAATTCCCACGGTCAGGGATAGTGCTTGAAACTTTATTCGGTGGGGTTTGGAAACCTGGGTAGAAGCAACCACCGGGTGGAGGACTTCAGGAGCCAGGACCGTAGCACTGCAGGCTGCCAAATAGGTATAGGCACCTCAGCCTCTGCTGCTAGGGATGAGAAGAGGATCCCGGAGCAGACAGGGTGCCTCACCGTGAGAGCTCAAAGAGGTACTCCAGGTCCGGCTGCCGCAGCCTCTGCTCCTTGTTCTTGTTTTTGGTGAACTCTTTCAGCATCACCATGACATCATTCTCAAACACCTCCGGGGTGGGCTTTGCTTCTTCAGGGAGAAAGGACACAGGATGAGACACAGCATCCCCACCCCCATTTCTCAAAGTCACCAGCTTCACATCTTTGTGCAGCCAATCAGGAGTCACACTGAACCCAGTCTCGTATCCCTCTAAAGTTATAGTGCCTCTTTCAAGTCTGCTTCACTAAACACCATGGGAACTCAGGTCAGAGCAGCTAACCACTCCTCCTAGTGAGACCCATCTCAGATGGCAGCAAACAGCTCTAGGATACAGAGGGAGTAAAACCCTGCACCCATTCAATTAGTGCAGTACAGGGGAATACCTTCCTGCCCCCAGTTTATGATCATCCTGTGCCTTGAAGCATGAGGATTGGAAGCAGTGGACATTTTCTGAGCAAGAGTCACTGCAGTTGCTATTCTGATCCCTATACTGTATATTGCTGCATGTGGAGCCCAGGTGAGCTGAGACACACTCATCATCCCAGAAAGCTTCCTGCTCCATCTCATCATAGGAGACAGGGCCAAGTTATAAAACCTAGCTCCTGTAGATTTTACAAAGATCAGTATCATCACCCCTATTTTGTAGCTGGGGAAACTGAGGCAGAGGGAGGGGGAAGTGACTTGTCCAAAGTCACCCAGCAGACCTGGAAATAGAGCCCAAGTCTCCTGAGCCCCAGCCCACTGCTCTATCCTCTAGGCCACACTGCCTCCCCCAAAGAGGGCCCTGTTGCAATACAGTACCGGTTGCCCAGTAGTAAATATCCCAGTCGTTGCTGGGCTCGTTGATCAGACGGTCATAGAGGTTCAGCTGCCGCTCAGTCATGCTGTTCAGATTCTCCTTTGCAAAGAGGCTAAGTGAGGCGAGAGAGAAACCAGGAAGCACGAGGAACATAGGAACTGCCAGGCTCACAGCCAGGGTCCGTCCAGCCCAGCATCCTGTATGACACTGGCCAGTGCCAGCAGCAGGCAGATGTGAGATAATCTACCCCCAAGAAGGGCTCATCCAGGTCTCTAGTAGTTAAAGATCACCTTAACCCTGTAGCTGAGGTGTAATATCCCTGCCAACATCTGTTATCTTTAATTATAACTCTGGATATTTTAGTTATGCATAGAAATGTCAGGTCACTTGGCAATCTTACCATGTTCCTGACCTCACCAACTTCTTGTGGTAGAGAGTTCCACAAGCTAATTATGCACTGTGTGAAAAAGGATTCCCCTCTATCAGTTCTGAATTTCCCATTGTTCTATTTAATTGACTGTCCCATTGTGCTTGTTATGAGGCAGGGAGAACAGAAGCTCCCAACCTTGCTTTTCTAGACCAGTCATCGTTTTATCATTTTATGTCCCCTCTTACTTGTCTCCTTTCTAAAACAATAATCTCCGTTTTTTCTTTCTCTCTTTGTAGGAGAGTTTTTCCAGGCCCTTGATCATTCTCAACCACCTCTTTTCGGCAATACCCTTTTGGAGATGGGGTAACAAAACATCACACATTAGCCAGCTGAGGCCGCACTACTAATTTATAGGGCAGCATTAAAATATTTTATCAGCACTGAATTTCACCTGCCATGGTGCTGCCCATTCCCCTAGCTGGGCTCGGTCCCGCTGAAGTTCCACGCAGTCCCCTGTAGCTTGACTAATCTCAGTAACTTCGTGTCCTCTGTACGTTTGTGACCTCGCTCTGCAGATCACTAGTTACACTGAACAGCACGGGACCTGGCCCGGAACCTAAAGGCAACCTCGGTTCCCCGCCGTGGGGGAACAGGGAAGCCCGGCAGAGCCAAGGAGAGCTGCTGGGGAGACGGAGACAGACCCTCATGCCCGCCCCGTCCCCCAAGAAGGGGACAGGAAGCGAATCCACCCAGGGAACGTGGCAGCCAGAGAGAGACCCCGATCCGGCCCCCCATGCGCGGGGCCCCCCTTACCTGAGCAGCAGGCAGTTCTCCAGCATGCCTCGCTTCCTGCTCTCGTACAGGAGCCGGGCTCTCTTGGCCTGAAGGGGCTCGCTGGGCCGCTCCTGCCAGGGGGGCAAGGGGATCTCCAGCAGGTCCTTCCGCGAGTCGGCCGGGGAGCCCCCCTGATAGCCGCGCCGGGCGGGGAGCGAGCTGGGGCGGGGGGTGCGGAGAGCCCGTCGGGAGAAAGACAGGAGCTGCCGAGAGAGGGGGCGCGTGAGGGGGAGGGGCTGCCCCCTACTGGCCCGCATCCCCCAGCCCAGACACCCGGCAGGGCTAGGACCCGCCGCAGGGAGCCGGGCGCCCACCTGGGGCGGGGGTTGAACGCCAGGCTCCACCGGAGAAACCTGCCCCGCTCACCCGAAGCCCCATCGCCGCCGCCATCCCGCTTCCTGGGCCCGGCCGCTCTACTCCGGCCTCCCCCGCTCTCTATGGTACCTCCGGTCCCGGCGGGTGGGGGCGGAAGGGGCGTGGCCTGCGGCGGAAGGGGCGTGGTGTGACGGCGCTGGCTGTGGCGGTGAGCGGTTCGCGCGCTTCGGGCCTGCTCGGGACGCTGGGCCCCGGCGCGGTAACGGGCCGGTGGGGGCCCCCCGGTGACTCGATGCAGCGGGGTTGGCGCGGGGATCGGGCCCGCGGAGAGGGGGGGCCGGTCGGCTGGCGGCAGGGCCCTGGGACGGGAGGAGCCGTGTTCTTGCGCCCGCCTCGCCAGGGCAGCGCCGGACGGGGCCCCTGTTCTCCCGGGGGGGTTGGGTGAAGCTGGCGGGCAGATCGGGGCGGGTAGATATAAGCGGGGAGGGAGCCGGGGGGAGCAGATGGAGGGGAGCCAGGGCGGGTAGGTCCGGGGAGGGGGGGTAGATTCAGGCCGGGCGCACATGGCCGGCCCGTGTTACTGAGCCGCCTCTCCCCGCAGTGCACCGCACCTGCTTCCTTCCTGTGCCCCCGGGCTCTGGCTCCCGCCGCGGCTGGAAATATGTCCGAGGGGGTGGATCTGATCGATATCTACGCCGACGAAGAGTTCAACCAGGTGAGCGGCGAGTGAAAGCCCCACCCCTATCCACGGCAAGGGGGGGGGATTTGTAGAGAGTTGCTGGGAAGTCTCATGGAGTTTAGGGGGCTGTTTGGAGAAGGTTGGGCCCCCCTTGCGGAGGATATTAAACTCCTGAGACTCGGAGGCTGTGAAGTAGGCTGCAAGGGACCATAGGTGGGTCTGGTTCCTACTCGTCTGGTAAAGACACGTGATGGGGCTTGTGTGCCAGCAAAGGAGCATTATGGTGCTGAAGGGTGGCTCTGAAAATCCCCACAGATCTTGAGACGCCTGCAAAGAGTGGCAGTGTTGTTAAGGCATTATCTGGGTGATGACTGGAATCTGCTGGGACGTTTTTTTCAGCTGGACCTAGTGCTTGTCTGGTTACAATCTGTGGGCAATAGGGAGAAAGAAGTGGGCAGTACCTATTGGACTGAAGCATCCCTTAAGCCAGGGAGATCTGTGTTGTTGGAGAAGAGGGCAGTGGTGGATACAATAGATTGGGAGCCTAGCCATCCTCTTTTGCAAAACATGAGGGTAAGAGACAGGAAACGAAACCAGAAGAGAGCTAGATGGGGCAACTACTAGAGATCTCTCTGGGACTGTAGGCACATGAACACAACCCGATTTAGGGTACTCAGGACTTCAGGATGCTGAGCTCTTAAGGAATTTTATCTGCTTGAATAACTGGGTATAATCAGAGAGGTGCCTAAATTACAAAGAAATCACCCTGATGATACCAGGAACTGAAAATCTATCCTAGATTTACAAGGAGAAAATTATTGAGAATGTGTGAGTAATAAGGAAGCTTGGGAACTACTTGAATTCAGTGTAGTAAGGAACGTGAATGCAGTGGTCCAAATGTATTAGATTTCAGAGGACCAAATTTTGAAGAGTTAAGAAATCTGGACAGGTGGGTATAATGGAAGAAAGTTCAGCTCCTTGGAGATGAAAATGCTATGGAAGTGCTAAGTCTGAGATCATGGAAGAAGGTTAGAGAGTCTTAGGAAACTGCAATCAATCTAGATTACTTTCCAGGAGCAAAATGCAAAGAACCAAGAGACTGCCAGTGTGGCCTCATGAGGGGTTGAACAGAAATTTGAAGGCAATAAACCCCTGTTCTGAAAAGGTGGGAGGTTACCAAATGAGACTATACCAGAAGTTAAGCCTTGAGGGAAAAGTTAACAGTGGCAAAAAAAGAATGTTAACCATAAGGGAAATGTGAGAGGCTTTTACAGCTATCCTGGGAGAAATAGTGCTTGATTGGAAGTAGATGCATTAAATGAGGATGAAATCGAGGATGGTTCTAAATGGGTGAGGTCTTGAATGCCTTTCTGAAATCTTACCTTTTAAAAGAACTGCATAAAAATTATGGTATTTCTGTGCTGTATGATCCCCAATAGCCAGGCTTCATCCCCCACAGAAAGCAGTTTTAACTTTAAAATAAATATTTCCCCTTGTTTGGAATCCTCTTAGGACTTTCTGATTGACTGAAAGCATCCTAGAGTACAGCATGGTTATCCAAGTCTCACTGGATCCCATGCTATAATGATAGGTCAGAATTATGTTCTGGGATGTGGCCATTGAAACAGTTCAGCACAGAAATATGCTTAATTTAGTTTCCTTGTAATTAACCTTTAACAAGCAAAATCCAGAAAGTAACTTTGGACAGTTGGGCAGTATGATAAAGAGAGTAGGTATGAGAGAACTTGGAAAATATGAACATATGCAGATTAGTGTATCAGGATTACAGGCATTCTAGGGTAATAGAAAATGACTAACAGATTTCTTGAGTCATTGGCCATTATTTTGAAAAGTCCTGGGGGAGGAGATTGGAGAAAAATAAATGTGCTACCGATCTTCAGAAAAGGGAGAAAGACCCTGGCAATTACTGTTTGGAAGGTATGTCAGTTCCTAATTAAAATAAAAGTCTGTACATATCTTGGAGGATAGCAGAGATATGAGCAGCGTAAACATCATGGAATTATGAAGAAAAACAATCAAGCCCCTCTCATTTGATGGCTTTCTGTTATTTTGATTTTAAAGCACTTATTGCGCCACAGTAATTATCCAGGTTGGGTTGGCGGTGAGTATTTTCTCGTGGCTTCAGAAGTGCCTGGAAAAGCAGAAACCAAGAATGGTAATAAAAGGCAATGTATTGAGTTGGGAGGAAGATGTTTACTGGATGCAGAAAAAAGTCTGTATTGGACATGGTTTTACTCAACATCTTCAGAAGTTCTCTGGAAGTTAACAGCATGATGAAAATATTCACTGATAAAACCTCTCCAACACACACGAATAGATGTAGTTTTTAAGTCTAGAAGTGATCATTGTGATCCATCTAGTCTAACCTGCATAACCAAGGCCATGGAATTTCATTTTCAATGGGAGGAAGAAACCTAGAAAGCAACAGTGCTAAGAGAAAGAGGCTATGGCGTGATTGTGGGTAGTTTGCAGTGTTGTAGCGTTGGTCCACAGATCTTGAGAGACAAGGTGGGTGAGATAATGTCTTTTATTGGACTAACTTCTGTTGGTGAAAGAGACAAGTGTTGGCCACCAGAAGTTGATCCAATAAAAGACATTACCTCATTCACCTTGTCTCTCTAAGGCTACGTCTACACTAGAAACTTCAGAGTGCTGCGGGAGCGCTTTGAAGTGTGAGTGTGGTTACGTGAACAGTGGGAGAGCTCCTAGAAGTGTAGGACTGGAAGGGACCTTGAAAGGTCATCAAGTCCAGTCCCCTGCCTTCACAGCAGGACCAAGTACTGTCCCTGTCAGATTTTTGCCCCAGATCCCTAAATGGCCCCCTCAAGGATTGAACTCACAACCCTGGGTTTAGCAGGCCAGTGCTCAAACCACTGAGCTATAGCTCCTGGTAATCCACCTCCATGAAGGGAATAGCTCCGAGCTCTGGGGGTGCTGTCCAAACTAGCGCTTTAAAGCGCTTAAACGTGCTGCAGTCAGGGTGATTTTTCACCAGCCCCCCCCCCCCCCCCGAGCCAGCAAGTTAGAGCACTAAAAAATGTAAGGGTAGACAAGCCCTAATAGTGGCTAGTGAGTTGGGGCTTCTGTATCCTGCTGCATGTTGGATCTCAATTCTGTGACAAGACACCCCTACTCCTGATTCCTGTGATAAGTGTTACATCCTGTGGCAAAATAAAAATTCTACTGCAGCTATTCGTTCACAAAATAATTTCAGAGCACAAGATTGTAATTAAATCTAAAAATGCACCTCTTAATCAATATACAACTAGTCAAGGACTCAGTCCTGGGAAGGTTCAAATAATTAATAAAGACATGTTTGCGGATTTGAGTTGCAGCAGGGAGATCTTAGCTGCAGAACATTGTTGCCATACATCCCAGGTGGGGATAGGCTGTGAAGTGCTCTCTTTGTCCTAGTGAATGAGGCAGCCTTTTACAGCCAGCACATGGCAATGTGGGGAAAGGCCCTGAAAAGCCAGTTCTCTTCATGGCAAAGACAATATTGGGGTGAGACAAGATGGAAAAGTGAACAAACCTTGGGTAGATCTTTGATAATTTATACCTGGAGCAGCAGCAAATGGCATATTTAAGGCTGCAGAATGGTTTCCATTCCAACCCCCTATTTTTATGCACTTGTAACTTTCTGAAACTCACCTTTCAGGCTTGGTCTGTGTGCAAAGGTGACTTTTTTGGGGGGTGGAGAAGGAGTTTAAACAGAAACAGCTGAGCAGTTTTTGAGAATGAGTACAAAAATATTTTCCCTGTTAAAATTCATGTAACCTTTTTAATCACTTCTGCAACTGAAATAGCTGGGGGCAGAAAATGTAAATTTGGCTTGGAAATAGCCCTTGCTTTTGAGAAGGGCTTGTGAAAATTGGAGTTGGTTTCATGTAGCTGTGACCCTTTGAAAGTTGCATGCTGTATGTCCCTGCCACCCCCTCTTCCCAAGCTCATGAAGTGCCAGACTGCACATATGTGCATGCACAACTCCCTTACCTTCACATTAAAGAGTGTAGGCTGAGATTGTTAAAGCAGCATATGGGATTCAGCCACACAGGTTGACTTTAATGGAAGATGAGGAGTACTTGTGGCACCTTAGAGACTAACAAATTTATTAGAGCATAAGCTTTCGTGGGCTACAACCCACTTCTTCGGATGCATATGAAGTGGGTTGTAGCCCACGAAAGCTTATGGTCTCTAAGGTGCCACAAGTACTCCTGTTCTTTTTGCGGATACAGACTAACACGGCTGCTACTCTGAAACCTTTAATGGAAGATGTAGCTCTGGCTGGTAGGAGCAGAAGCAGCCAAAGCAGGGACCTCTGGGCATTCAGACAACTTCCTACATTTTGACTGGACTTTCTCTGCTCTGTGCAGATTGTCTGTTTGCTCCAACCCTCCCTTCCCTCATTGACTCTTCACTTCAGCTTCACTCAGTCCACACCTACCCCATCCCTCTTTGCCTTTGCCCCCCTCACCTCTTTCCCCTTTCTTTCCATTTAGCTGATCACCTCCGAAATAAACCCAGCTGCCCACCCCCCAAAATTGCTGCATTAACATGACATTTGCTGCCATCACATAGTTCACTCTGCTTGTGTGTTCTACTCCCTTTCCCTCACACTGTGTCTGTCTGGTTTATTTAAACAGTATACTGTTCAAGGAAGGGACTATTTAGTATAGTGTGTATAGCCCCTAGCACAATGGGGCCCCCCTCTTGTTTGGCCCTGGCACTACGATAATAAACATGATTGATTAATATGTTAGCCTCTGGCCTGCTTTGAAAATCTCAAGCATAGTGTGGCTGTGTAGCCCTTGCCTTAGCCCCTGTATATCTTGAAAGGTCTTTGTACAATGCAGCACAGTCCAGTTTCTTCTATTTCCCTCTCTTAAAATATCTGCTGGAAACTCATAGACTCATAGACTTTAAGGTCAGAAGGGACCATTATGGTCATCTAGTCTGACCTCCCGCATGATGCAGGCCACAAAAGCTGACCCACCCAATTTCCCTTATCTCAGCTGTTGAAGTCTCCAGATCGTGATTTAAAGACTTCAAGTCGCAGAGAATCCTCCAGCTTGCGACCCCTGCCCTATGCTGCGGAGGAAGGCAAAAAACCTCCAGGGCCTCTGCCAATCTACCCTGGAGGAAAATTCCTTCCCGACCCCAAATATGGCGATCAGTAGAACCCCGAGCATACAAGCAAGATTCTCCAGCCGGACCCACATTTTACCAGCGATGGCACGTTATTGCCTAATTGACTAAAATCACGTTATCCCATCAAACCATTCCCTCCATAAACTTATCTAGCCTAATCTTGAAGCCAGAGAGGTCTTTCGAAACAGGTGGCTAGTGCTGGCTGAAGTATGGTGTTAGGGATGAACAGGACAGGGAGGCAGTTATGGGAATGAAGGAGAGTTCAACGGCCTGTCATAGCTTTTCTGTAGAACCTTAACAGGTATTTCCCAACTTCACATTGTCTAACCTTGCAATCTTGGTACTTCCTTTTGTACGGAATGCAGTGTATCTTACTGCTCTTTGCTGCAACCTTAGAGACACATGGCACAGGGTCAGGGCAACTGCATCTGTATTTCCCCTTTGTGGGGCACCCAGTTTAATTGCAGAGCGCCCAGCCTTGCACTGGGATATCCCCAGCAAGCCAGACTGCCTAAGAAGAACAGCACCTGTGCTCTGCTGTCTCTCCAAAGAGCTATGGCCAGTGTATTGCCAGCAGTTATAAGTTACCATGCAGCTCCTACATTTATTCTTAAAAAGTACTACAGAAAAAACCTATTAAAACAATAAGAAAACCTTATATGACCGCTCAGAAGCTTATCAGACCCCCAGCTCCTGCCCAGGGCTCTGATAGATTTTAGTCCTTCAAAACCCAGAACTGGGTTTTCCCCCTGGTTACAAGTTCATCTGTCTTAGATCCAGAACTCCCATCTGGGCAGATCAGCTGTTTCTTTATACAGCTCGGCCCTTTGATCTTGGCCTGCTGTAATGGGTAATCAGCAGACATTGACCCTCTGTTCAGGGTAAAAACAACGAGGAGTCCTTGTGGCACCTTAGAATTCCCATCTTTTCATGTACTGTGTATATATACCTGCTACTGTATTTTCCACGCCGTGCAGCTGATGAAGTGGGTTTTAGTCCGCAAACGCTTATGCCCAAATAAATTTGTTAGTCTCTAAGGTGTCACAAGGACTCCTCGTTGTTTTTGCTGATACAGACTAACACAGCTACCACTCTGAAATCTGTTCAGGGTGGAGCTTCATAACTGGAGGTGGGGAATTTGCATTAACTTCTCCCTAGGGATTCCCCAGGAAATCGACTTCACACTTATTGTTCTCCAATGTCCATATGTGTCTGGTACATTTTCAGTATAGTCTTTTAAACTCCCAGGTTGTGAGGAGCATGAGCAGTGGCACAGAGATGACCTTAGGATGTCTGATCTGCAGAGGTGTTTTCTTTCATTGAGCCCCTGCTCTTTGGTGTGCCCTTATAAAGGTCAGGGTTTTCTGATTGCTTTTTACCTTAGAAATACCAAGTTTGGCCTGGCTCTGGTCTCCTGGCAGATGTTGAAAGCACAACCAGGCCACCTTAGCATTCCATTAACTGGGGTTTGTATGGCACACAGTAGCACCTGGTTAAATTAAATTAACTGGGGGGCGGGGGTTAATAGAAAAGAGCAACACATTTGTAGGCAGAAACTCATTGGGGAGGTTTTCAAAGGGGGCATCTAATTCCCATTGACTGCCAATGTTAGGCACCTAACACCATTTGTACCTATGAATACCTCCCCCTATGTGACTGAAAGATAAAGAAAGGAAGAGACTGGTTTTAGAAGATAGGCTCTGCTTTGGGATGCTAGCTGCAATCCTCCTCCTGTTATCACAGCAGTAGCCAAAAAGAAAAGGGACTTGAGTCCACGCTTTACAAAGTATGCTAATGATTGACTGGTTGGAGGGCAGGCGTTTGACTAGGATGGGGAGACACAGGCAGTGTAAAAGGGCAGCTGGACACGGATAAATGCAAAGGAAGGGGATTTCTGTGTCATGGGGGAGAAAGCGCATTCTGTGGTGGATTCCACAACTGAGGAATTGTAGCAAATGTCGGATTCTGGATATTGATTCAGAGATTCGAAGGCCAGAAAGGACCATTTTGATGATCTAGTCTGACCAGAGGTTCAACACAGGCCAGAGAACTTCTCCAAAATAATTCCTAGAGCTGATCTTTCAGGAAAACATCCAATCTTGATTTTAAAATCTTCTGTGATGGAGAATCCACCACAACCCTTGGTAAATTGTTCCAATGGTTAATTACTCTATTAAAAATCTAGGGCTTATTTCTAGTCTGAGTTTATCTAGATTCAGCTTTCAGCCAGTGGATCATGTTCTGCCTTTCTCTGCTAGACTGAAGAGCCCATTATTAAATATTTGTTCCTCATGTCAATACTCGTCTTATCAAATGTGAAGCTTGCCAGACCAGTTTGCGGCAGCAATGTATCAGCATTCTCATTGCGTGACCCAAGATTACCTGGTTAATAGTGGGAGTACTCATGATCCAAGCTGTGGATTGCAGTCAAAGCCCTTTCTAGGGCTGAATCTCGATTACTTGCCAGTCGTCATTCCTGATGTAGATACTTAGACTCTGATCAAGTCATCCCTTAACCCTCTCTTTGCTAAGCTAAACAGATTGAGCTCCTTGTGTCTGTCACTGTAAGGCATGTTTTCTAATCCTTTAATCATTCTTGTGGCTCTTCTCTGAAGCATCTCCAATTTATCAACATCCTTCTTGAACTGTGGGCACCAGAACTGGACACAGTATTCCAGCAGCGGTTGCAGCACTGCATTTACAGACACAGCCCATTACAAAGCAGGGAAGCAATCTCTGTACACCTTCAGTGGTGGGATGCCAGCTACAAAATTCATTTCTGGGCACTTTGTTATCGAAAAGGTGGCAATATATTGGGGGAGGAGGGGTTCAGAAAAGGGCAGGAGAAATGCCCGGGAGCTGGGGAGATTGACTTGTGACTTGTAAAAAATATTTGTGTCTTGGCTAAGCGATGACTATGGGGAGGCAGAACCGTTTGCAAGGAGCCATGGATCTGAAGATGACTTACTCAGTGGTAGAAGGTCTAGCTAGGACGAATGGAAGGAGATTGAAAGAGGGCAGTTTTAGACCAAGTATCCAGAAAGGTCCCCCTGTGGAGACTTTTATAGGAATGTGGGGTTAGTGTTCCAAGGCAGGAGGATGGTCACCCCTCCCTGGAGAGATGGACTGGTCCAGGCACTAGGGGTGAACTATTTCATCCCCTGGACTAAGGCATGTACTTTTCTGGACTTCCAGGAACTGTAGCATGGAAATGATGCATCAAGTCAGATCCCGCCCAACTGAACTCATTGGCCGTTTTATCCTTGATTTCATTGGGAGCAGGAGCAGGCCTTTAGATGTGTGTAATAGCTTTAAAATGGCTCTCTTTCTCGAAGGAATTGTCCTGATCTCATGCCTGTGGCCTATCCTGGATTTACACTCCTCCTTATATTGTCTCAGTACAAGAACAAGTGTGCACTTGATGAATTAAGATAATTAACTTCAAGCATATGAAATGGCTGCTAATGCATAATTAACCTGTGGCACTTGCTGTTGCAGGGTGTCAATAAAGCAAACAGCTTTATAAGAGTTTTGAAAGGACCATAGCATTTGTTGTAACAGTAACTGGGATAAAATGATACGCTAAGGGCTCTAATGCTTTATGGTCTAATAAGAGCGGTAGGAGGAAATTGCCCCCCACTTGAATGCTTCCTCAAAAGCCTCATGCCACCTCGGGTTCAGGTCTCCTAAGTTAAGCCTGGCCAGGAGATCGCAGAGGAAAGCCCAGATGCTGCAGTAGGCAGTGCTCTTTCCTCTGAGTGCTGAATCAGTGCCCCAAAAGTATGCCCGGGGGTGCTGTGCCTCTGGGATCAGATGTAAAACAGAGGTCCTGGCCACTCGTGATCAGAAGAGGAGCCCTAGCCAGATTCCATTCTTCATTTGGAAGTTCTCCCCATAGTTTCATTTGGATGCACTGTTCTTCACTTCCTGTCCTAAGCCTTTGTCCTTTTTGTGACCTGAATGAGTCACATCTGCACACTGACACACGCTACTCCCATGAGGCTGCAGAGCCCACACAGCTACAGAAGAGTGAGCCACGTTCCACTGTGCCTCCTGCGTTGGGAGAATCGTGGTCTCTGTTCCACGGCAGAGGAGGTGGGGCTAGTGAGAACCAATCTGGATTTGAGGTTCTCAGGGAGAGTTGGTGGCAATGAGAAAAATCTTCTCTGTCATTGAACTCCTTCGTTGTCTGAAATTTATGGCAGGAGTTTTGCAGGCATGTAGAGAAACGATTCCTTGCCCAAGCCACTTACAGTCTGAATCAGACAGGAAAAATGTTATACCCAAGGTAATAATTCAGATTTAGGATGTGGAAGACACAGAGAGGCTGAAGAACCAGGAGTGTCCCTGTTACATGGTACTTCTCAGCCCAGTAGCATTCCTTCCCTTTGGCTTCTGAGAGTGGAAGTTCTAGAGAAACTCAGTCTGGGCAGGAGAGAATGATTCCTCCTCAGGATTGTTTTGTGCTTGGTGTTTAATCTCTTGGGTGCACGGGCTGTTTACCAGCAGATCAGAAGCACTGGGCAGGGCAAACCTCTGGCCTGCTGGAGCCTCTCCCTTGACGTGACTGGCTAGTGATTGATTGTTGCCCAGCTGGTAAACTGGCCCCATGGGCTTGTCACAGAAATGCTCACTGATCTCTTGTGTGTCCTAGGACTCCGAATTCAGTAATGCTGACCAGATGGATCTGTACGACGACGTGCTAGCAGCAAGCTCGCAGCCACCCGAAAGCCGCACCAGCAGCTCGGAGGCACCGACCGAGATCCGCCAGGAGCAGTCCCCCAAGCCAAACAGCAAATCGCCTGCCATCTTGTACACCTACAGCGGCCTGCGTAACAAACGGGCTGCCGTGTATGTTGGCAGCTTCTCCTGGGTGAGTCAGGTCACTGATGCCTGCTGGAAGCACATGGCCTAGTATGATTGTCCTCCACTTACTGGGGACAGATGCGGTGTCTTCAGTGCTTGCAGTCTGGGCTGCAATCGTTGCTGTCAAGTGAAGTGAAATCAAGCTTGGTCTGTACGTGGATGGGGATCCTCTAAGGAAACCCATGTTCTGTAGAAAGGGGTGTGGTATAGGGAGCTCTCTTCCCTTTGTGTCAATACTGAACCAGTGCCCCATCCTGGGATTGCAAGGACTGTGCTATCAAACAGTTAGTGAGGTGTGGTAAAACAGAGACCTGGACCACCTGTGGCCAATGGTGATCTCATGGTGCGGTCTGCATGGGACTGGGATATGGAGCCTTTAACACTTCAGAGTTAGTGCAGTGGGAGGGTGGTGGCTCTGGGCCAGCTTATGTGCTCTTGTGGCTGTGGGTTGGCTTATATGACATGAGGTGGTTGCTCTCTGAAGAACAGATGTCCCCACCACACAAGCCACTGACTCAGTTGGGACTAATTGTCCCCTTTGTTGGTAGTCCCTAAGAGAAGCCAAGGACTGAATGGGCCTGGAGACTGAGCTCTGGCCCCACAACCCCTGTGATCCTTCTTGCTCCAGGTCTGTTGGTGGAGTGGCACGTGGGGGAATCTTAGCCTCCTGCTCAAACTCTGTAGACAGAGCCCTTCAATCACCACAGCTCTCCAGGGTGCCTTTTCGCAGATCTTACGACTGTCATTTACAACTGTCTCCCTGGGTATTGGTGTCTCCCAGACAGAGGGTTACTAGGTTGGGCTGTATCGTCTTCCCATTGAAAGCCTTTGTGGCATCAGAAACTGGAGCCTACGCTAAAGATCCTAGGGGGAGATTGAGCAGGGCGTGGGCCTTGGTGGTGGTGAGTGATCGATAATGCTAGTCCTGGAACAAGGGTGTGTGGCCCAGAGATCCTGCCATAGGGCCTCAACTGCTAACGCTGTCCTCTTCCACCTGTTCTCAATCAGTGGACAACTGACCAGCAGCTGATCCAGATTATTCGCTCAGTGGGGGTCTACGATGTGGTGGAGCTGAAATTCGCGGAGAACCGAGCCAATGGCCAATCCAAAGGGTGAGAGCTCTGGAGGGACCCAAGGCCTTCTGGCACTGGGCCAGTCCAAAGAGTGAACACTGTTGGGGGAGACCCTGGACCTTTTCTCCTATGGGTTTGTCACCACGATTGTCCGGCCTGTTCCCAGTGGGCAAGGTGTCAGCAGGCCTTCTTGTGGAGCTGTGTGGAGGCTTGAAAGATGCTTGTGTGAATGGAGCTAGTGTGCCAAAGCACAGAGGACGAGGTAGTGAAGAGGTGGTGAGGAGCTGATGGGAGGCATGTAGGAATGCCGGTTACCCTGCGGTGGTGGGCTGGGTTCAGCTGCAGACAGATGTCCATAGTGAGAGGTGAGGATTGCTGCTCTCTATGCTGCCTGGGCCATGGGGAGAGGTGTAGATTGAAGCACCCATGGTTGCTCGTTGGGTTGTCCCCACAGATTGTGGTCGGGGAGGAGGGTGGGCTTGGTCCCTCGGTGTGATGGGGTACTGGCCTGCCATCATCTGCTTGTCTCTGGCTCCCCCCAGGTATGCAGAGGTGGTAGTTGCCTCTGAGAACTCAGTCCACAAGCTCCTGGAGCTGCTGCCTGGCAAGATCCTCAATGGGGATAAGGTGGAGGTGAGACTGGCCACCCGGCAGAACCTGTCGCAGTTCGAGGCACAGGCTCGGAAAAGTAAGTGGGACAGGCCCGCCGCCAGGGCAGGGCGCAGGGTGCATGAGGAAGGGGAGACTCCCATTGGGCCCTAGAGATCCTGAGCAGAGCTTCAGTAGCCTGATCCCACCAAAACCCTGGGGTGGGGGCTGAATTCCCAGGAGTCTCTGCGTGTTTTTCCTGTTGCTGCCGAGTCTGACCAGATCCTGACCCGAGTCTTTATGATCCCATTTTAGGTGCTTATAGACTGCGAAGATCCCTCGTAGCCTCCTCCTCTCCAAACTGAATGGGCTTAAGCTCTTCAGCCTATCATCATAGCTAAGACCCTTCATATCTATTAGTAGCTCTTCTCTGGACCTTCTCCAGAATTTGTACATCCCTGCGGAGGTAAGGTGCCCAACACTGGACGCAGTACTCCAGCTGGGGCCTCACCATGGGCCTTGTACAATGGCCTTTTTCCTCAGTCTGATGGCTCAGCCCAGCGTCCCAGCCCCGCCCCAGCTAGGGGGCGCTGTGCAGCTGGAGGTGCCATCTTTCCAGGGACACACATGACGAAACTGGCCACCTGTGGTCATTGTCGATCCCATGGCACGTTTCGTAAGAGGAGAATTACTGCCCCCAGTGCCCTGGACAAATTCCAACTGGGTGACTGTCCTGCAGCCTTCACGCACCCTAGGCAACTGCAGTGGAACACCAAATTTTCCATTGCCCATCCTGAATTGTCAAAAAGAAGTGCTCTGCACTGTCAGACCGCTGCCACCTTCTGCCATGGAGGTGGCTGTATTTCAGTGGCAGGTGAGAGGTTCCTCTGTTCTGTCCCTTACCTCACAGGGCTGTTGTGAGGCTGTGGCTTTGTCTGCACTGGGGAATTGCCCTGGCTATAGCCATTGGTGTAGCTGTGCTCACCCTGATGGAGCTTACCAACACCTGACATTAATGGAGCTTCTGCCTGGATGAAACCGGGCCAGCTCATAGCAGTTTACCATGGACACTAGGGGGTTTGCACCAGTGGCTGTTACAGGACCACTCACCAGGGCAGGCAAGGCCTCAGTGTGTCTCCAGCCCTTTGATTCTGGGCTGAAAGGGGCTAGAGAAGGGAAAGTTTCCTTGTAGTAGTAATCTCCCTTGGCTTGTTCCCATGGCTGCAGATGAGCAACATCTGCATGTCTGCTGCAGATCTAACCCCCTCAGACTCCCTCATGGTCAGCATCTGGTTACTTGCTCTCCAATACTTGGTAGCCATGGGAGTTTTGGATCCAAGCTATGTCCCTCTAAGTTTGTTCACCTTATAATCCCATCAGCCCTTTCCAGATCCACTCCCCTAGGGGATTGCAGGCTCTCTGGGTCAGGGTCACTTATTGGCAGGATTTCAGACTCTGCCTCTGTGCAGGCCCAAACCAGCTGTATTAACCAACAAACAGGCAAGCTCTGACTCACGCAGTGCCCGGTGGCCTCTCCGCTGCGGCCTCTTGCCATTTGTCAGGGCTTTTGGCTTCTGCCCGGGTAATCAGTTTGCTTTGCAACTTCCATCCCCTGTGTTCGCCACCGGGGCACTGCCTTGGAAGCTTTCCTGATGTCTTGGTGGAGAGCAATCACGCCCTGGCTGAGGCCCGTGGAAGTGGAGGCTACGTTTGGCTGGCTGGATCTTTCTCTTGGCACCTCAGGCTCCGCTGAAATCAGGCGTGTGGCCGTGGGAGACGGGTGCCCCGATCTCGAGGTGGGGAGGTGATGGGGGCTGGTGCAGGGTCGAGGGGACGATATAGCCCTCCCTCGGTCACTGGGTCATTCCATCCCCCGCCTCCTTCCTCCCTCCCCAGGCTTGTGGGGTCTGCCGCACCAGCTGGCTCTCTTCAGGTGGCTTTCCTATGGGTGAAGTCTCCCCCATACTCACAGGCCATTCCTCTTCTCTGTTGGCTAACAGGGGTGCCGCCGAGGGCTCACTCCCGGGACTCCTGGGATTCGATGGATGGCCGAGCCACGCCGACGGAGAATGCTGTGCCGCCCCCTCGTGTGGAGAAGCCCCCTTCCGTGCTGTCTTTCTTTAACCGCCCCCCTGCCGCCATGCCCCTCATGGCCCTGCCCCCTCCCCCGATGCCTCCCCCGCCACCTCTCTCCTCCAGCTTTGGAGTGCCACCTCCCCCGCCAGGAATCCACTACCAGCATCTAATGCCCCCTCCTCCTCGACTGCCCCCACACCTGGCCGTGCCACCTCCAGGGGCAGTCCCTCCCGCCCTGCACCTCAACCCTGCCTTCTTCCCCCCGCCAAATGCAGCACTGGCCCCCCCCGCCGGACACCTACAAGACCTCTGCAGCATATAACCACAGCAGGTGAGAGCAGTATGATGGGATAGCCTAATTTTGGCAATTAATTGATCTTTGATTATTAGCAGGTAAATATGCCCAATGATCTGTGATGGGATGTTAGATGGGGTGGGATCTGAGTTACTACAGAGAATTCTTTCCTGGGTGCTGGCTGGTGAGTCTGACCTTAAAGTCTATGAGCTGCAGCCTCTGCTGGATTTGGAAAGGACGAGCTGAGATCGTGGGGGCAGGAGACATCGGCACCGTCATAACGGTGTGTCAGCCAGATCTGGGCCTACTGGGCCCCAAGAGGGCAAAAGGTGTTGCTATGGGGTGCCAGGTGGGTGTCCCGGGGAACCTCTGCCAGGTGGGCAGTGAGCCTGGGATGCTCCCTGGTTGGTGCCCTTGGGGAGCTCTGCCAGGTGGGCAGTGAGCCTGGGATGCCGCCAGTTGGTGCCCCGGAGAGCTCTGCCAGGTGGGTATTGACCTTCAGCACCTGTCGGGTCAGTCCCCGGGGGTGGGAGCTTTCTCCCCATGCCCGGCTGACAGGCGCGTGCTCTGTTTTGTGCAGTCGAGAGCTGGGCCCACTGCCTCCCCCGGTGAGCGAAGCCGAGTTCGAGGAGATCATGAACAGGAACCGAGCGATTTCCAGCAGTGCCATTTCCAAAGCGGTGTCCGGAGCCAGCGCAGGTAACAGCGGCCCCCTGACACCCGTCATCCTCCATCCCCTGCCCGGTCCTTTTCCTCACCCTTCTCCTCATCTCCTGCAGGGGATTACAGTGATGCCATAGAGACCCTGCTCACGGCCATTGCCGTTATCAAACAGTCCCGCGTAGCCAACGACGAGCGGTGCCGCGTCCTCATCTCCTCCCTCAAGGATTGTCTTCATGGGATCGAAGCCAAGTCCTACAGCATGGGTGCCAGCAGCAGCTCCTCCAGGTAAATCCTTGCCAACCAGAGTAGGAGGGGAGAACTCCTTGCTCTCATCTTGGGCCTTTGGTGGAGATTTGGGGGGCAGGCACAGCTCACTATCCTTTGGGGAGACCTGAGTCGGAGGCAGCAGCCCCTCTTTGTCTGAAGATCTGGAGGGGAGCACGGCTTGGGAGATACTCAGCGCCTAGTCTTGTCTTTCAGAAAAAGACACCGGTCTCGGGAGAGGTCGCCCAGTCGTTCCCGCGAGAGCAGCAGGAGGCACCGGGACCCGCTCCATAATGAGGATCGGCACGAGGACTATTTCCAAGAAAGGAACCGGGAGCATGAGAGACATCGGGACAGGGACAGAGAAAGGGACCGGCACCACTGAGAAAGGTGAGCTGGCTCGAGGCCCTGCTCCTTCTATCTCCCTTGGGCGGCGAGGCCATCTACCTGCTGCCGATGGAGCACCCCTTCCCTTAGAGGAACATGGCAACCTCTTGGGGGTGCAGACTGGACGTTACGCAGTCTATTTCCCCTGGCTTTTAGCAGTTGACTCTCCATGGCTAACATGGCAGCCCCTCCAGTTAGTGTCATAACTACACAGTCAGTGGCCACCCTCCGGATCTCAAGCAACAAATGATCTTTCATTGCCCACAGCGGGTGTTCCAAGAGGGAAAGCCCCAGGGGAGAAGAGAAGGGAATGTCCCTTAATCTCCTCTGATGGCTGCTGAATAACCAGCACTGAAGTCCCTCATTGGTGGTTTTCCATTGAAACTGCAGCCAGCTTGGTGCTGCTACTCATTCACATGCATCAGCAGAGTCATTTCCAGCCCCGTTCCTCTCCTTCCTGTGTCTTCACTTGATCGATCTGTAGCAGGCTGTGAACCTACACTGCCCACGCCGAACAGCAGAGAGCGAGCTCCTTGCCCTTTGCGCTCTGTCCTCCTTTCTAGGTTCAGTGCGGGCAGTGTGAGGACGGGGCCTTCCTTGGTCAGGTATCCTCCAGCTATGGAATTCCCTTCTGTGGTTAGCCTGCCAGAGTCCCTCATTGGCTGATTACAGCACCCTGCAGTGTTCTCACTTCCTGTTAACCATCTTCAGAGCCAAGGGGCAGTGAGCTCTGCTGTTGGTGGGTGGCTTGGCTGGGGAGAAGTGGCTTTGCCCACGTGGTGGTAGCTGGGCAGAGTACGAAAGCTTGTTGGATTTTTAGGATGCAAGTGTCAATAGCATGTCCCCACGCCTAATAGTTGGGGGACATGATAGTGGTCTTCAAATACTTGAAAGGCTGCCATAAAAAAGATGAAGAAAAGTTGTTCTCTCTTGCTACAGAGGGCAGGACAAGAGGCAATGGCTTCAAGCTACGGCACTGCAGATTTAGATTAAATCTGCTTCTTAATTCTAAGAACAGTAGGACAGTGGAACAGACGTGTCTAGGGAGGCTGTGGAAGCTCCTTCACTGGAGGTTTTCAAAAAGAGGCTGGATAGCCACCCGTCTTGGATGGCTTAGACACAACAAATCCTGCATCTTGGCAGGGGGTTAGATTAGAACTAGACCCTTGCGGTCCCTTCTAACCCTACAGGTCTCTGGTTCTATTATAGCTCTACTGGAGAGGGCCATGCGACCTTTTAAATTAGGGCTGATGGGTCAGGGCTGCCAGCTTCAGGCCATGTGCGCCTTTCAATCCACAACAAGTTTGTCACTCCTACATTTCAGAATCACTTGGTGGGTGGGGAGAATGGGGGGCACTGCACAGTTTCCCCTGTGTCACCCACATGTACAGCCTCTCCTGCTTTGTGTTGGGGCTTTTGTACAGCACTTGGTCCTAAAGAATTAAAAACCGTTACCCACTAGATTTGCCTTTGAAGGTCTTGACTAAAGCCCAGCAATGTGACCCATACGCTGCTCCTGCTCCCCTCTGAGAGAGGCTGCCACTAAGGAACAAGCTGACTCAGAAATTACATAGCATCAACCCTGCAAACATAACATCCCATGGGAGCTCTCCCCATCCTGGGCTAATGCCAGAATTTCTGCTGCCTCCCCTACCTCTAGCTGTACTGAGGTGGGCGGCGTTAGAACTACAGACCAGCCTCCAGTGTCCTCCCGAGAGGCCATGGTGTTTTGGTCCCGTTCCTGCTGTGTGGGAAAGTTCTCCCTGCAGGACTCAGTGCACCGGTTGGGCTGCCTCTGGGTGAGACATAGGATGGCGGTGTCCTTAGTCTGTTGCGGGGGGAGTGCTCTGCGTTTTTTGTTCTGCTTTGAGGATTTTATTTAGCAATGGGCTGATGCCTCTTAAATGATCTGCCTACTGCTGAGTGCCTTCACCTCTGAGCACTGCCACACCTGACACACTACTGATTTGTACCAGGGTAAGACCGAGAGGCCCCCCACTGCGACTGGGCCAGCTGCTGTGAGTTTCTTACCCAGATCAAACCATTGGTCTCTTGGGGAGCCCTGGGTTTCAAACCCACGATTGCCTTATGCTTTTAAACGTTCATCCCCCCCACCACAAAATGTTTCCAGTGTGAGCTTTGTCCAGGCATGATGGGGGCCTGGTGGTTAAATCAAAGAAAGGGGGAGTTAGGAATGAAGACCAGCTCTCTTTGCCACTGATTGACAGTGAACTTTGGCAAGTTACTTCCCTTTTCTGTGCCTCAGTCCCCCCTCCTCTCTCTCTCCCCCCCCCCCCCCCCCCCCCCCCCCATGGCAGTAGTATTTGCCTACCTGCCATGTACGTCTGGCTTACCCATTACCCTTGTGAAGCGCTCAGATCCTCTGCTGAAAGACGCTGTAGAAATGCCCAGTGTAACCTGGTCTTGTTTGGTGTAGAGAACTGCCTGGGGCAAGTTCCCTCTCAGCAGAACCTGTGTGGCTTGCAGGATTTATTCCGGATCAGCCGAGAATGTACTTTAGCTGTCATTAAATATTCCAGGTGAAATAACTCCCCTCTAGGTCACCAGTTCCAATCCAGCCTGGGTTGGCCAAGACCTTCTGGCGATTTGACCTGTGCAGGTTTGGCTGATCTCAGTCCAGTTCCTAGTGCACAAGTGTCCTCGCTGGAGAGCCCACGTTCTGTTAGACATGCATTGTCCTCCTTGGCGTTCCCAGCTGTTCAGCCGAGGCCAGAATGGGGCCGTGGAGATGGAGTGTCTGCCTCACCCCTAGAGGTGGCCACTGGGGCAGGGACAAGGCACCTCACCTGGTGGAGCCTGCCCTGGGGGTGGAGGACTTCCCTCTCCAAGGCTGTGGATCCTGCACCTTGATCCTGTCAGCACCAAACTTGCAGGAAGACAAATGTTAAAAGGCAGGTCCGTGGCGGGGGCCTTTGCCTCCAGTGGGGGAGGCTGACTGGGCCCCAGGCAGATCCTTGCTGAGCAGTTGGCATCAGCGGCGACTCAGTGCCTGGTCAGCGCAGCAGGGAGACTGTGACCTGTTGTCTTGTTCTGTCCCTTCCAGGAGTTTGGTTGGCAGTAAGTGTTTTTAATGGACTTGTATCTCCTCACCTCGATCAGGACTGAAGGACGGAGGCCGCTCCACCCCTCTCCTCCCCACTGCCCCCAGCTCCTTCCAGGCACCCAGGGAAAGCCACGTCGCCTGCGGGACTCCAGCTGGCACACGGTGGCCTCGGGACCCACACTCGCTGCTGCTGCTTTCTGGGGAAATGCTGGAAGACGAGTTAGGGAGGGATAGCGTCGGGGCCACTGTGAGCAGGGAGTGCTCCAGTCCACGGATACTTGGACCCAAAGAGAAATGGTGCTTTTCCATGGAAGCTTGTGAGCTCCTTCCTCTCCGTGGCCCTTCCGGGGACAGCTGGAAGGGAATCCATCACCCTCGTGTGTGCTGGGGAGGGTTGGAGGTGGGGGCGCAGATATCCCTGCGTGGTGTCTGGCGCCTGGCCTGCTTGGCTCACTGGGGCCAGTATCCATGTCCTCCCATGGTGCACTGTCTTCTCGTCCCGTGTGGGGGTGCTCTCTTGAGGAGTGCGATCCCTTCTCCCAACCAGTTCCAGGCCTGGCTTGTCTGGCCCATTATACTCATCTTAGATAACAGCATTTCCTCTTCCCCCGCCTCATGGAGAGCAGGCTGGCTGCTGCTTCCCATCACCTCTTTCTGCTCCCAGTTGCCGTTCCTGTAGGCGCCTCTGAGTCCTCTGCATTCTGCCCTGGCTCCTCTAGGGGGCTTGTCCGGAACAGAGGTGGCCCCTCTTGGCTGCACTCAATGCCTCTGGCTCTCCATGCTGATCTCATGCAATAACCGTTCCAGTTCACGTTTTTCCCTACCGCAAGCCCCAGCCACCTGTTTCTTCAGAGCCAGCCTCCTCCCAGAGAGGCTGCCTTCCTTGTTTTAGAGGAAGCGGCATGGGGAGAGACTTGAGTGTTGTGATATCGGTGGATGGAGATGGGGGGGGGCTGGGGGCTGGCTGGATGAGCCCAACAACTGTTAACCTGGCGAGCTGCTTAGCATTTTTGTGTGGTGGGAGGTGCATTGATTCCAGGGATCGAGAACTCTGGTGGGGACTCCCGCCTCTTCATAAACGCTCTAGGAATGGGAGCTCCCAGTCGAGCGCTGCGTGGGGGGTTTCTTTAGACAGTACCGCTGCTTGCTATTGCTCTATGGTGCGTGATGGTGAGCAAAGGGTTTGGGGTGGCTGAGAGTTGGTCTGCATCTAGCTAAGGAGTCTTGGTGCCTGTTCCAGCACATGGGGCTGATTGTGCCCAACAGTGCGATGCCTGAAGGGCCAGGGGGAAACATAACCACTATTTCCACCACAGCCTTCAGCTGGTGATTCTCGAAGGCTGGTAGGATAGGTGGTGTGGAAGGAGCCATGTTCCCTCGAGCAAAGGATGCTGTAGGGTACAGGTGGCCAGAGAGCAGCCTGCATGTGTCGCATGACTGCCCATCTGAGCGGCAGCCTGTGGAGACTACACATCCCAGCATGCAGTTCTCCAGTCACTTAGCTCAAGCTATAACACATTGTATGCTGGGACCTGTAGTCTCCAGAGCCTGCACCTTTATGTAAGACTGAAGACAGCAACCATCTGCTGCATTTCATGCCATTCAGTGTGGCCCTCCTGGCAAGTTGTGGACACAGCTGGGCAAAACCTGGGCACCATCCCCCCAGCAGGGGTCTCCAGTTGGACACATCAGAGAGGGTGGCAGGGGACGAGAGTGCACAGCCTGCCTGGAGGCTGGCGAAGTTAAGTGACACCTCCGTAAGAACTGTGATCGGTGAGCAAAGGCCAGCTCTGGATGTCTTTTTAAAAAGAAAATGAAAAAAAAAAAAAAACGGAAACTTAAAGTGAGGTGACATTAAAAAAGAAGTGTAAAATACCAGAAAACCTTTTGACAGGAGAGTGTTCTGTTTTTTTACGTAATGACACAAATTTTTAGTTTATTTCAGAATAGTGGTGGGAGGGGGGATGATAAAAAATAAAATAAAAAGCAACGCCCCAATTCCCCTCCCCCAGTTCTCGGTGATTTGATTTTTGTCTCTTTCTGATAGGTTGGAAATTGTGTAATAAACTTGATGACGTTGTCAATCTTTTATACTGCATTGTATGTTTTCTTTTTTTTCCTTTTGTAACAAAATATTTTAAATAATAAATGGGGTGTGAGCTGTTTTACGGAACCTGCATTGAATAATATTCTCTCTCCGGGGTCGTGGTGGTATTGGTGCTGTGAATGGGGATCTAGGGTTTGGGATTCTGGACTCCTGGGTTCTTGGCCTTGTGGTCTGATTTTCCAAGGCACTGAGTCCTCAAAACCAGCACCAGCATTTAATGGTCAGACATATAGGAGGCTGCCTAGGACACTATGCCAGCTACGCCCTCCCCCAGCCAAGTCTATGCTTCTAAACTACACCTCCAGCCCAGCCTCCTGCTCTGCAGCAGTGGCTAGGACTGAAAGCAACCGCTTGGCCATGGCTTCACTCTGGCTACCTCCTCCCCAGGTAGGGGAGATTTCGTGGGTTTCTGACCCTTTAAGGGCACACCGTTCACCAGCAGCAGTGTTTGGGAGTTGTGGATCTCTGCTTCTCAGCCAAGACAGCATTCAGGGCTGTAGCGCTTTAAAAACACCACCTTCCAGCACTACCCTTAGGCAGCACCATTGACCTCAGCAGGCCAGTCCCATGCCCTGTGAAGTGTAGGGAATGCTGCCCCTCACCCCAGGAGGTCAGATCAGTGCCTGTGGGATGCTTTGAGATCCACTCTTCAAAAGAAACAGAGGCAAAGTTTTGAGTGCTCTCCAGCAGACTGTGGTTCAGGCTGTATGTCAGTCCTTGCTATCCAAGAGGATCTGAATGTCGTGGTGCTTTTGAGCGGGTGGAAACTGCGCCATTCTGGGTAGGCCTGAGTTAAGGTTAAAATAATCAGAAGTAGGTAAGTCAGAGGTTTAGAATGAAACCCTAAATGCCGGACTCTGGAAATAATCACTGAGGTGTACATGTCAACGCAAACGGCCCCCCTTGCCTTCTGTTATCCTCCCCTGGCCACCTACCCACTGTCAGCTGTAAAAAGCAACAGAGGGTCCTGTGGCACCTTTGAGACTAACAGAAGTATTGGGAGCATAAGCTTTCGTGGGTAAGAACTTCACTTCTTCAGATGCAAGACTTCTGTTAGTCTCAAAGGTGCCACAGGACCCTCTGTTGCTTTTTACAGATTCAGACTAACACGGCTACCCCTCTGATACTTGACACCACTGTCAGCTGTTTTCTCTGTTGAGTGTTCGCATTACAATAATACAGACTTCTGTTGATGGTCTAGCCCCCTGTATCAAGGGATGGTGGCCTGTATGTCCATGATGAATGTAGGGAAAGTTGGCCTTGGCTTGGATCTGGATTGTTGGGGGGGCCTTGGGTCTCTTTGGGAGGGTGACGGGGGCAGAGCTCTTTTTGGTGGATGAGGACAGGATATTGGATAGATCATGTGTAGGGTAATGTGGCGGTTTTCTCTCATACTGCCAGCATGGGGGTTGGCAGTGTTTCTGTTTCTTTGAACTATAGTGTTCTAAAATCGTGCTTTTTAAACCTATCTCCATATTTCCTGGTTTTCAAGTGCTTAATGATTTCATTGCCAGAGGGCAGCTGCATGGTTCCTTTACAACCTTACTGAGGGGGTTTTTGGTTGGGAGATTACTTTTTTGGCGACGGCTTTTTATAATGTGTGGAACTTTCTGTAGATGGAATTGCGGCCGATGGGAGCAGAGGTCCCCCCCTTCCCCCGGGGCTGTGACTGCTTTGGAGTTCATAGGCGCGGCCTGCGCCATTCGAAACCGCATACAGATTCCTACATCTCTGCCACGCCTGGTCCTAGTCAAAATCCTCCCTCTCCTGGCTGCTGCTCAGAGCCTTTGGCTCGGGCTGGAACCCTGCTGTTACAATGGGTGCAAGAGACCTCATCAAGTTTAGAAGGGCCATGCAAAATATCAGGTAACCTAAAAACCCTTTTGAGTCTCCTCGAAACTCTTCTCCCTCAAGAACGTCTCTTCTGATCCCTCCCTGAGGCAGCTCTCTGGCTAAAGCAGCTAACATGAGCTGTAGGGTGGATTGGAGGAGTGTTGACAGAGCTGGAGGTAGCTCTCAAGTGAGGCATGGCAGAAGGTTAGTTGCAGACTTCCCTATGGAGAGGACCACACAGAGGTGAGATCTGCAGAACAATCTCCCAGGGGAAGTGGGGGAAACCCCACCACTGAAGACACCTAAAACTAGACTAGGGACAAATTCCTAGATGATGTCCTCTTGGGACCAATCCTGATGGACTAAGTGGGACCTGATTGGCCCCTTCCAAGTTGAATTTCAGGGGTGGTTCCTTGTAAAAGGAAGACACTTGGCAAATGCAGGCTTCTGGCAGCCCTGCACAAGGGGTTAGGACTCGGTGTCAGTTATGAACTGGTTCTTGGTTAGTTAAGCACCATGTTGTGGTGCGTGTATGTGTGAGGAGGGAGGGAGACCCAAACTAGAGGGGAAGGAGAGAATGGAGCACATCCAATTAGGCTGGTGGTGATGGCCTGGAGCATTCAGGTCAGGCTTGATGATCTGGTGGCCCCTTCTGGCCTTGAACTCTGACTCAATGACTCTATTGGTGGGGGCGATCCCCTTCCCCTTCTGAAGGAGCTGTGGCCCTCAGCAGGATTTGGGGGAGGAAGAGGCAAGGAGGGAAGTATATGCTATGATAGGAGTCAGTTGCCCTGCCTAGCTGTGATTTTTGCACCTACATTGACCAGCTACATATGAAGTCCAGTGAGAGCCCCCCAGAGTGATAGGTAGAAACTGAATGTGAATCCTCTGCCACCCTGCTGAGAAAAAGCCAGAGCCCTTCTGAGCTGGTAGATCGGAGCACATGTAACAAGACAGATGCAGGGCTGCTCCGTCTGGCCCCAGTGTGAGGGCCCCTGGGACGTTGTGTGCTGGGCCCCAGGGTACAATACCTTCTTTGAGTTTGGACCAATCACTGAGGTCCTGGGAAGCTGAGGGACATTCAGGTCACATGTGAAATGGTTCCCACCAGGGATGATGAGGGCTAGCTGGTGGCTCCTGCAGAGAAACAGCCTGCCTGTCTCTTCGAGGCATCCTTCAGGCAGCAATCAAGAAAGCAGCCCTGCATGGTGCCGGCAGGGCCGCCGAGAGCGGGTTCAGGCCCTGGTGAAAATTTTTTTTCGGGCCCCCCAGCAAGGGCGGACCAGCTAAACGGGGGGGGGGGGGGGAAGCTGGGCCCGGAATTTTTTTGGGCCCCCCAGCAAGGGCAGACCAGCTAAACAGGGCCACTGAGAGGGGGGTGCAAGCCGGGCCCCCTTCTGGACCATCGGGCCCCAGTAATTTGTACCGGCTTCCCCCCCTCTCGTCGGCCCTGGGTGTCAGTCTTGTAAGCCGCTGCCCTTTCAGGCCTCTCTTTCCCAGGTATGGCTGAAGTGCCAGTGGCAATCAGACTGCATCCCCTACCCCTGTGCCCTTCAGACCGGGTGTGATAGCACTGAGCTTTAGGCTGGGGCCAGAGGTCAGGTGTCTGTACTCACACTGCTCAGTCTGCAGCCTTTCACCCTGGTAAGTGTGAAGTCCTGCCTCCGAGCCCAGGCCAGAGTGGCTGGGGCAGCGTGAACTGACTCTGGTCATTCTGGGGATCGCAGGAGGATGGGCAGCTGCGGCTGGTACTCTAAGGCCCTCCCTTGTGAAGTCTTGCAAGGCTCAATCTTGTCCTCTTCCAGCACTTCTGTGGGGCCATGAGATGCCATGGCTCTGATGTCAGCTATTGGCCCTCCAGCTTTCCATCCCCCCAGTAATCGGGGCTGTCACAGAGATGCTCTGGAACCTGCAGGAAGAGGGGAGCTGGCTGATACGCTCACCCTGGGGTGGCATGTGCACTCTCGTTCTCAATGGCTTCACTGTCTTCTGTTCCCTCCCCCAGGGGCCTGGGGCAGGGTGTCTTTACCTGCCACCAGCTTAGCCTAGCAGCGCTTGGGGTTGGCTGCAGCTGGAGGGCCTGGGGGAGGAGTTCTGCTCCTAACGCAGGTTGGGGGTTGGGCTGTGGTCCCTGAGAGGGCTGGGGGCAAAGCCCTTACCAGCCAGTGTAACATCCCCCTAGGTTGTAGGGATGGAGCACGGCTATGGCCCCTCCATTGTGGATGCTGCTTCGTTAGTGACGTGTCCATGTTGGGGGTGAAGCCATGAGCGCCTGAGTGGGGCACATAAGGTGGGGGTGGAGCCAGGGTGTAAGTGGAGCTAGATGTGTGGGGGTGGAGTGGGCGGGGCTAGTGCTGTGGGGTGGGGCCTATGCAGTGACTGCCCAGTTGCCTGGTGCCCATTGTTGTGGGCGTGTCTGAGCAGTCCCAGTGCCATATAGCGGCCCAGGTGGGACGAGTGGGAGTGATCAGAGCCCCATGGCTGACTCCACTGTACCCCCCTCGCTGCCCTGTGGCCTTATCAATGCCGCCAATCGGTACCTGAGCGCTGAGCCCTTCCGCTTCCAGGTGGTGGCCACGGGCTTGGTGCTGCGGCTCCGCCAGGTCTGGATGCTCCGCTTCGTGCCCTCACAGGGAGCCGGGGCGGCCGGGCAGGCCGAGGAGAGCGGGCAGAGACTGCATCTGCTCAGCTGGCTGCAGCGCTTCCTGGCGGCCGATCCCAACGGCAAAGTCACCTGTGACCAGGAGAGCCCGGGCCCAGGTGCCCTCTTCCTGCTGCGGCAGTACCCAGATGGCAAGGTGTGCAAACTCCACCCACCAAGAACTCCCCATTGCCCCCCCCCCCAGGCACCAGCTCCACTGACCCCGGGCCCCCCTCCTGCTGCAGCAGCACCTGAGGGCAAGGTGTGAGCCTCCACCTGCCCCAGCACCTAGCACCCACATACTGCTGCCATATCAGCCCATCTGATGGTAGAGCCCACAGCCCCCTGCCCTCCCTATGGGCAATCCCCCAGCACCCTGCCTAGGGGGACCTGACAGCTGGGGGAGGAACAAAGTTGGCTGTGGCTCAGCTGGCAAAGGGGCTCCCCACAGATCAGTGGGGGTCCTTGCACTGAGCCGGGGCATGGGGGAGTGCAGACGAGCTCGGGTGCCGTGTCAAGTCAGAATTAGCTCTCCCACCAAGCGACCTCTCTGCTCTGGCCAAGGCCTTAGGGGCACCGCACTATATTG